ACCAATGGAATGGAATAGAGAACCCAGAAATAAAGCCAAATACTTACAGCCAACTGATCTTCAAGAAAGCAAAACAAAAACAAAAACAAAAACATAGTGGGGAAAGGACAACCTTTTCAACAAATGGTGTTGGGATAATTGGCTAGCCACATGTAGAAGAATGAAATTGGATCCTCATTCCTCACCTTATACAGAAATCAACTCAAGATGGATTAAGGACTTAAATCTAAGATCTGAAACTATAAAAATACTAGAAGATAACCCTGGAAAAACCCTTCTAGATATTGGCTTAAGCAAGGATTTCATGACCAAGAACTCAAAAACAAATGCAATTAAAACAAAGATAAATAGTTGGGACTTAATTAAAATAAAGAGCTTTTGCATAGCAAAAGGAACAGTCAGCAGAGTAAACAGACAACACACAGAGTGGGAAAAAATCTTCACAATCTATACATCTGACAAAGGACTAATATTCAGAATTTACAACAAACTCAAACAAATCAGTAAGAAAAAACAAACAATCCCATCAAAAAGTGGGCCAAGAAGAAGAATAGACAATTCTCAAAAGAAGGTATACAAATGGCCAAAAAACATATGAAAAAATGCTCAACATCACTAATGATCAGGGAAATGCAAATCAAGGCCACAATGCAATACCATCTTACTCCTGCAAGACTGGCCATAATCAAAAAATCAAAAAACAGTAGATGTTGGCATGGATGTGGGTGATCAGGGAACACTTCTACACTGCTGGTGGAAATGTAAACTAGTACAGCCACTATGGAAAACAGTGTGAAGATTCCTTAAAGAACTAAAAGTAGAACTACCATTTGATCCAGCAGTCCTACTACTGAATATCTACCCAGAGGAAAAGAAGTCATTATTCAAAAAATATACTTGCACATGCATGTTTATAGCAGCACAATTCCCAATTGCAAAATCATGGAACCAACCCAAATGCTTATTAGTCAATGAGTAGATAAAGAAACTGTGGTATATATTCAATGGAATACTACTCAGCCATAAAAAGGAATGAATTAATGGCATTTGCAGCAACCTGGATGAGACTGGAGACTATTATTCTAAGTGAATTAACTCAGGAATGGAAAACCAAACATCATATGTTCTCACTGATATGTGGGAGCTAAGCTGTGAGGACACATAGGCATAAGAATGATACAATGGACTTTGGGGACTTGGAAGGAAGTGTGGGAAGGGGCAAGGGATAAAAGACTACAAAAAGGATAAAAGACTACAAAAACTGTATATTGCTCAGGTGATGGGTGCAACAGAATCTCATAAATCACCATTAAAGAACTTACACATGTAACCAAATACCACCTGTACCTCAATAACTTATGGAAACTAAAGCAAAAATAAAAATGAAACCACAGTGAGATACCACAGCACACTGATTAAAATGACAAAAATTACAGAGATCACAAGTGTTGGTGATAAAGAGGAACTGTAACTCATATACACTACTAGTAAAAATACAAAATGGTAAAGACACTCTGGAAAATATTTAGCAGCTTATTTTAAAGTGCTTACTATATGACCCAGTTTTATTCATGAGAAGTGGAAACCTAGATCCACACAAAGACTTTGATGCAAATGTTCATAGTGAATTTGTTAATAATAGCCCCAAACCGGAAGGAACTCAAATGCCCTTCAGCTGATGAATGGATAAACAAATTGTGGTATATCAATACAATGGAATATTAGTCAACAAAAAAAAGGAATGAACTATGTCCTGCTATGCTAAGTGAAAGAAACCACACACAAAAGTCTACAAACAGTATTATATTACTGTGAAATTCTAGAAAAGGTGAAACTATGGTGACAGAAGTTTGTGTGTATATGCTTTTTATAAAAAGTCAAAGGGAAGCAAAATGAATTGTAATTCTTACCCCATTTATGTATCATAGTAGAGGACCTGTACCTGTCTTAAAGATTTTTAACATGTGAACGATCAAAATGAACAATTTGCTTGCAATCACACAGTGAATGAAGTGGATGACAAAGTTGAATTTTTGCTATTTTGGGTCGGTGAAATGTGACTGTGTCATACTAAGACATTTTTTTCTGGTGATCCCAAATGGTCTCTGAAAAACCTTCCAGAAAAATAGTTCTGAAAATTGTGTCCTTAGTAGTTTCTTCATTGGAATAAATTTATAGCCTCCTTGAGTTCAGAATTTGAAGAATACAAGTGTTTTGAGATTTCCTTTTTTAAAAAGATAGTTTAGTTTTGCTTATGTCTTTTAAATCGCTCTTTTTTTAGACCATCACTTTGGACATTCGTTGGTAACAGCCAATAATATCTGATTTTCAGATAAAGAATCCAGGGAGCCAGTCTAATGGCTGCAAAGCCTTCCTGAGCATTTGCCAGGACCAGCAGCTCAGCAGCCGCACAGGCAGAAGTCCCAAAAAGAATAAGAAATAATTTTCTCATAATCAAACGTGTCTGAAATGGACATGGGCTATCTTGAGGAAAAAGTGAATTTCCCTGGTTTAAGTGGCAACTGCAGACCCCGTTGGCAGGCACATATGAGAGAAGTTTTAAGCATCAGATGGGGCATTGGACTAATGCACGCATTCTGTGGACATGTACCTGGAGCCAGGCTTCCCAAATGGACTACAGCTAGAGCTATCCTGACCCTGTCATGGAAAACTTCATCTAGCTTTGGATCTTGTGGATATTAAGAAGATAGACTTTCTGTGACACACCCTTGGAATCCAGATTTCAAGGATGGCAGTTCTTTAGCCTGTTGTTAAAGATGTGTAGTGCCTCCATACAGTTCTGAAAGATGCCATTCTGTATGGGTTGAAAACAGTCCCAGAGATCATTTACAATCAAGCAAATGTGCATATTTCTGTTTGGTTCAATGCTATCCAATAGGTTTTCCCAACTCATTCTGTTTTCTGGAAAATAATTGATGAATTTAATTTGCCCTTATTATTGGTTTAAGTGAAAATGTTGTTAGATCTCAAAAGTTGAGAAACGTATATCAGGGTAAATGCTGAAAGACATGATTCTTTATCAGAAGCACCTTGTGGCTTAAAAATACATATCCAGGACTTAGAAGAGCTAACATCTTCTTCCAAATAACCTGGTAGAAGAGTTCGAGAAAGCTGCCCCAGAAGGTGGAGTTTGGCAGAGTCTGGACTACTCTGTTGAGGGCATACTCTTTAAAGAAGATGATTTTATAGTTAAGCAGGGAAGGTGAAACTTATTTTTTGGACTGGGGCATATCTATGCCTCCCTCCTTTCAAGTTGAGAGACCATGAACACAGGTTCTATTCACTAAATTAATCCCTCTTGTAGTCCTTCCATGTATTAATTCAGCAGATATTTAGTGAGCACCAGTGTACATAGTGCTATGGGAGGTGCAGTTAGGAACACAAATATAAGGAAGATACCAACCTGGGTCTGAAAGAACTCAAAATCCCAATATGGACAGGCAAGATGGAAAAGTAAGCAGCCACAAGGCAGTGTCTGAGGCACACCAGTTGAATGAATTGGAAAGTAGGGGCAGTGGAGGTCAAATGAAAGAAAGCATATTTCATTTCAGCTGTTTAGGGGTAGAGTGGTTTCTGTGAGCCATACATTCCTAAGGAAGGAGCGAGAGTGTTCTCTCTGGCAGAAATGTCAAGGAGAATGAGACACAATTACATTTGGTGATGAGGACATTGCTGCTGACCTTCAAGAGTAGGAATTTCAGGAGAGGATGGTATTGGAAGCCACATTGTAAGTTGCCAGGGCAGGTGCATTGGAGGAAGTGGAGTGGTGGTCACTCACTGGGACGTTTGATAGGGAACGATAGGAAGTACAACAGAGTCAATGAGAACTTTTTTGCCTCATAAGGAGTAAATTGTTATTTTGAAGGTAGAGGCAAATGATTATTGAAGGGGAGAGGTTAAACTTTTATTAAAAAAAATCATTAAACTGTAGAATCCCAGAAAGTATAATGTTAATAAAGGAAAAAAAATAAGATAATTGTTAGCATTTTTGGTAAAGAAATGAACTGACATAAAATACATTTTTTGCATTTTAAATAAAAGCATTACATTAAGAAACTAAAATATTACTATTGATTAGTAATTCAAGTGAGAAGTTGAGTAAAAGTAATTTCATATTTAGATTCTTGTTATTTACAGAACATTGGTCGGGCGTAGTGGCTCACACCTGTAATCCTAGCACTTTAGAAGACCGAGGCAGGTGGATCACCTGAGGTCAGGAGGTCAAGACCAGCCTGGCCAACATGGTGAAACACTGTCTCTACTAAAAATACAAAAATTAGCTGTGTGTAGTGGCAGTTGCCTGTAATTCCAGCTACTCAGGAGGCTGAGGCAGGAGAATCGCTTGAGCCTAGGAGGTGGAGGTTGCAGTGAGCAGAGATGGCGCCATGGCACTCCAGCCTGGGAGACAAGAGCAAGACTCTGTCTCAAAAAAAAGAAAGAAAGAACATTAATGTCTTTGATCTTCTGATAGTAATTGAAAGGCATTGTTCCTTACCTTCTCAGTGAAACACTAGGGGATACAAACTGCATGTAAGAGCTTTTCTGTAGCTTACCTCTGTCTCATGTATTTATCAGGGCTTGTTGTGCAGACCACTGTTTTACATCATTGATTATGTGAGTAAGAGGGAAGAAAGGAGAGTCAAGTTATACCCTTGGAAGATGAAACTTATAATTTCCATGAAGCTTACTTTATGACAGTACAGAAGTTTTCAGGGTACTCTGTCATTCAGGAGTGAGTGAAAGTTTATCACACTTAATGACACCAGTATGTAAGTTTTCAAGGGTAGAGCCAAAACACTGAAAAAATAGTTGTGTGTGTTTGTGTGATTACTAAACCTTCTGAATGTGTATGTGGTTACACTACCTCTTTGCTCTTTGAGATCAACATGAATGCCGCCCGCTCCATCAAAAGGAAATGTGCCATTTAGAGGAATTATTTTAACTGTGGGTCTCACAGGCATTTCTCTTGTCCTCCTCAGACACAGGTGTGTTTGCAGTGGTGAACAGCCATTCCTTGTCCTTGCTGGGGAAGCTGACCATCAGTGCTGCCTTTAACATTGTTTATATCTACACCTCTGAACTTTACCCTACAGTCATCAGGTATGTGTCTCACATAGCCTCATTCTTCACACATTCTACACTTTGTCATCCATTCTTGCACCAACAGAGGTGTGGTACTTATTTCATCTGCTTCTGGAGTTAGTGTGGGGCAGCAGTAATTCAGCAAGCAGTTTAGGCTAAGAGCCTGCCTTTGCAGACTGCTCTCTGCCTGCTCTGCTAGGAAAATGTCACTTTATGGTAGACTGAATTCCTTCGTGTAAGTTGTAAGAGAAGTACTCTATGCTAGGCATATTCTATCACCCAAACAGTGCGCAGATGCTGTTATTCTTTTGGTGAATTTTATTTATTCAGTCACTCATCCTGTATCACACATCACAGACAAGGGGACAAGCTCCCTATTCTCACAGAGCCTCCATTTTAACACAAAATAGACACATTTTAAAATGATAATTTCATATAGTAACAAGTGAATATCAGAGTTAAACAGCAATTGTTAAAGCTGGGTTCTTAATGAATAGGATGCGTTTATATTGAAAAGGATAAATATCCAGCCTAAATTTTCCTTTATAAAATAAGTCTGAAAGCAAGAAACACACCCAAATTTGAAGGATGGGGGTGCAGCTGAGGCTTTGCAGAACTGCTTCTGTGGTCTGGGCAGGTATTCTCTCAGCTGGCTCTTTCTCAGTCTTTTAGAGGATCTTTCCAAACAATCCTTCTCCTTCCCTTATCTGTGCAAGAAGCCTCATGGTTGTTTCTGCCTGTTAATTTAAAATTATTTTTCCCAGTAAGAGATCAGAGTGTCTGCATTGGCTAGTAATTTCCTAGTTGGTCCTGTAACCTACTTTACGTGGCTACTGGCTATAAAACTAGCATGATGATTTTGTCCAAACTGGGACAATTTTGAGAGCAAATGTGAGTATGAACTTTTCAGCTGGGATTACAGAGTGCTGTATCCCTCTACCCAAAACCATTAATTATCATTCTCTCTCCTTCCGTCTCTCCTTCCTACCTTTTTTATGCCTGCACTCACTATAAAGGTGTTCTTGGTTTCCTGACAGTACACACTTAGTCAATTTCTGTTTATATGCTTGACCCGTTAATTGTTAATTAGTTGAGTTTAAATAAATGAGCAGCCTTTTCAGATCATAAAACCCTGGCTCTTTGTAAGAGACCTAAGGCGTAAAAACCCATGAGAACTTTTAATTTAAAAATATTCAAATGCTCTTTTCTATATCATCCTTTGTGGATCCACTGTCCCATATGGTAGTTACTAGCTTTGTGTAACTGTTTAAGTGTAAATTAATTAAAATTAAATAAACATTCAGTTCTTCATCCTTCCTGGCCGCATTTCAAGCACACAGTAGTGCATGTGTCTAGTGGCTTCCACATTGAACCGGGTAATTACAGAACGTTCGTAACATCTCAGGAATGTCTAGTAGGCAGCTCTAGAACCCACTGTTCTCTATGATCCTGTGCTTCCACTTCAGGACATGTTATTCCATGCCCACTGCTGCCCCCCAAGGGTCTCTTAATTCCCCCGCTAGAACTTACTGATGTATTTTTCCTTATGCTTTTCAGGAATGTTGGGCTTGGAACTTGTTCCATGTTCTCCCGAGTTGGTGGGATTATTGCTCCCTTCATCCCCTCACTGGTTGGTTTGTACCTTCTAGTTTTGTTTTTCTTGATTCTCTGCTTTGGAAATGCTTATGCTTTTGAGTAGAAAGAGGTGATGAACAGATGTCATTTAAGATCTGCTGACACAAATGTGAACCTTGTGCCTTTTAGATAGTACTCCATCAGGGCAGACGGACTCTTATCGAGGATTCATTTGCCTCCAGTGGGTCTGATTTTTTGTTCATCTGAATTCGTTGGAGGGCCTGCTATTGCCAGTGTACCCCATTCCTGTCCCCATGAAAAAGTTAGTCAACTAATAAGTATGTATGACACTTCTGCTGTGTGCTGGGCTCTATGCTGAGCACTTTCTACATATCATCACATGCAGTCCTCATAGTAACCATAAAAGGTAGGCATTGTTGTTACCCTTGTATTAAATATGAGAAATGCTACAGAAAGAGGTTAAATACCTTCCCCCAAGAACACACCTCTTGGAAAATATTAGAGGAGAAATATGTCTCGCACTGTGTCTGTTAATATGTTTTTTGAAACTTTCCAACTGTTATAGTCAAAGAAAGGGAATCAGATTAAATGACAGCCCTAAAATCCTTCATCTTAAAATGCTCAGATTCTGTGAAAGAACCCAGAGGACCCTTATGCAAGTCTCTCCTTGGTTTGATTTGTGACTTTCCCCAGCTGAGACATTTTGAAAGCAACTAGATTTGATGTGGGACTTGTTGACCTGTTCTGTAGACAACTGTTCATTACTTAGGCAGGTCTCTGAAATGCCATTGTAACCTTTTCATTTTCTGAGGTGCAGTACATTTCCCTTCTCTGAGTATCTCCATGTCTCATGGTTAATTTTAGGTCACAAGACCCTTCTTGAAGGAGTCATGTTAGGTCTGTGTTTTATTCTGCAAAATATAGGTACTGTTAAAGATATCTGACTTTGGATAGCTATCCTAGAACATTATAATACCCAGCACTGTGTCTCTGTTGCTTCCTATAAGGTTAGAAGAAGGAAAAGTGTGTGTTCCCCTTGTTTCAAAAACAGGCCCACAGTGCTGGACATATGTTTGCATGTAGATGGCTAGAGATGAAAGATTCTCCTCCTCCCTCTTCCTCCTCATCCCCATCTTCTGCTTGGTTCTCTCCATCTCTCCCTTCTCCTCCACCTTCTCCCTTTTCTACCTCCTCCATTATCTCTTCACTTTATTTTTTATTTATTTATTTTTTTTTTTTTTTTGAGACGGAGTCTCGCTCTGTCGCCCAGGCTGGAGTGCAGTGGCCGGATCTCAGCTCACTGCAAGCTCCGCCTCCCGGGTTCACGCCATTCTCCTGCCTCAGCCTCCCGAGTAGCTGGGACAACAGGCGCCCGCCACGGCGCCCGTCTAGTTTTTTGTATTTTTTAGTAGAGACGGGGTTTCACCGTGTTCGCCAGGATGGTCTCGATCTCCTGACCTCGTGATCCGCCCGTCTCGGCCTCCCAAAGTGCTGGGATTACAGGCTTGAGCCACCGCGCCCGGCCCTCTTCACTTTAAAAAATCAGGAAAAAATTGCCTGAGGGGAAATCCTAATTAGTAGTGAACCTACCCACAGAATTTGGAAGCCTAAACCAGAAGATCATAAAGCTTAGCTGGAATTCTAGAATGTTGATCAGCTCCGAAAAGCCCCAGAGAAGCACCCTGGAAGCAATTGTTTTTCATGTTTTCTTTGAACCTGTTTGTGATGAAATGCTTCTGTTTTCCTGAGAATATGTTTTGGATCTCTGAAACAATTGCTTGTTTCACCAGCCCTCTACCATGCTCAATTTAGAAGCTTATAAGCCATATGTATATGGTAGGGTTGGGTTTTTAAAAGAGTTTTTACACCTTTAATCCCTGGAACTCTCAGTTATGGTGTTAAGGTATATGGGATGGTTTGGCCAATTCCAGGATTGAGAACTTTAAAGTTCATCATCAGCAAGTATTTTGGGGTGCCTCTGTGCAAAGTGGGCTCACCTGGAATGGAAGCTGAACTACGAGATGTCCTGTCAACTCTGGCCATATAGGCCTGCCTGCTCAGAGGCAGCCTGGCCTCTTCTCCTGCAGTACCCACCCCAGGCATGAAATTACTGCTTCTGATCTGCAAACCAGTACTGTTCTTTTATTTACTCACTCCCATATCTATATGCCTGAGGAATCATTCTCTGATTTCCCAGGATAATTCTTCATGTGGAAAGAAGTGGTTTATAGTGTAGTCTACTGGGAGGTCATGAACTGGGTGGTAAACATGACAGTTTTTCAGTCATGAGACTGCTTGCGTTACTTGCAAAGGAAACTAATGCTCTGGTTTGTTTTCATTCCACTACCCACCTCTGCAGAAATATGTGCAATGGTCTTTACCATTCATTGTCTTCGGAGCCACTGGCCTGATCTCCGGCCTCCTGAGTTTGTTATTGCCAGAAACCGTTAACAGTCCGCTGCTCGAAACATTCTCCGACCTTCAGGTGTATTCGTATCGCAGGCTGGGAGAAGAAGCATTATCTTTACAGGCCTTGGACCCCCCACAGGTGTGATATTTTTCTTAATTATTATACCACTCGGATGGTGGCAGTTATTGAAAAAAGGAAGGTTTGCGTTAAATAGAACTGAGCAAAACTGCTGGAAAACAAAGGTGGGATCTAACAGCAGCTGATTTTCAGAGAAATAAAGATGATCGATGATTCATGAGCTTTCCTAGAATATTTTAGGGGCTATTTATTGGGGAAATAGATGTCATATAAATACATTTGTCAGTTGAATAGCTAGATGGTAGTTTCCGTTTCAGAAATGTCATGACATCATTTCCCTGCCCTTTTCTTCTCTCCTGTTTCAGTGTGTGGACAAGGAGAGTTCTTTAGGGAGCGAGAGTGAGGAAGAGGAAGAATTTTACGATGCAGATGAAGAGACTCAGATGATCAAGTGAAGAGCCCCAGATTCCCCCTAAGAAGCAAAGGATCATCTTTTATGCCTCTGGCTAAGGCAGGTTCTTCCATGAATATTAAGAGAGTTGTAAAAAGAGAGGCTTGGCTTGAACGTACATAGATGGTACCCGGCGTGGACTGATGTTTTTAGGCACAGAAGTTGGAGAAGAGATTTCATGAGAGACAACATCACTGCATTGAGAGAATAGTTGTTAATTTGTTTAGAATTTAAGTTCTGCTCAGAATCATAACATCTGGCCGAACAGCCCAAACCCACATGCCAGAGTGGTAGGCTCATTTGTTTCTAGAGGTTTCATAATGTCGCTTTTCCTTCATCATGATCTAAATAAAGGCAGATATGTAAAACTTCTCACTATTTTGATGGGGTAAGATAAGCTATCCTTAAGATTTAATCTTTACACCACGTTGAACATTTGCCCCTATCAGTTGCTACTCAGGAATCTTCTGGTACAGGTTAACATCAGCATTTTAATTTTGTGTCCAGGAAAAAGCACCCAGAGGTCATCTATGTGTCCCGAGACCCTCCAGCTTTTTCTCAGCTGATGAAATAAGAGTCCTCAGCTTGGTTCCCAGCCTGCTGGTTGACTTGGGCTCCTCATGCCTTGAGTCCCACTGATGATTCATTAGGAAAAGCCAGATGTACCAAAGCGGTTTACTCAGAGTCAGGAGTGTAGCTCTGGCTGCCTATCAGCTCCCTTGGATACTACAGTGTGTGATTTCTTCCTTTCCCACTAATATGCACATCCAGAAAAATTTCCATCTGAGATTCTAGTACTTCAAAATCATGCATAGTAAATGAGAAAGCCTTAAGTAGAGGGCAGTTAAACAGTGACATGTTGAGCACCTGGAGGGAAAAAAAAAGGTGCAGTTTTTAATAATGGAGAAAATGAAATTATCTTTGATAAATTTTTATTTGTTTTGCTTTCAGTATTGTACCATGAGGGATTTGGACAATATTTAAGAACTTGTCCTAGATCAGCCCCTACCTGTTTAATCAGAATGGAAGGTTCAGTAATTTCACAGGAAATGTTGGTTTTTCATTAAGTGCTACCAACTTTCAAGTGAATGTTACATTTGATTTCCTAAAATCATGTCTTGAAAACATGTTTTCCCATGAAACGTGAATACTATCTCAAATAGGAATATAAACCTAGAGTCAACAAGCTTAGGTAGCACTGATTTAGGTCACTTTCCCAATGAGGAAAATTTCTGTGTTTTCAGAATTTCCATTTCTACTAACCTCTTGGAGAAAAAGAAATTGAATTAGAGGTAAATAGAAGACGTCACTGTGGCTGCTTCTGGAAGTGCTGGAAGCATCACCCCAATTGACTCCAAATACTGTCATGTTTTCTTGCACATTGACTTCTGGTTTCCACTGTATCAGTATGTACCTTTGTAATTGTTATTTTTATGTCTTTTATGCCCTTGATTATTAATTGGGCTCTTCATAAACAGAGGCCATCTCTACTACTGTTTATTTTTCTCTGCTGTGCCCAGAACATTGGCCTAGACACAGTAAGACCTAGTAAATATTACTGTTTCTAGCCATCAGGGAGATTGCGGAACTCCTCCCAGTATAACTTTTGCAAACTCCAGGCAAATCTGACCCAAACTCCCAAATTGTCAAATCCTGCTTCACTTTCTCTGGAAAATAGACACCTTCTCAACATCAGAATAGGAAGAGAGGAAGAACTTACAAGGACATTTAAACGTTCTTCTTAAATGGTGGTTGGGCATTTAAAACACTGAACTAACATATACATAATTTTTGATTAGTTGGTGCTTTCTTTGTATTATAAGAGTAATATATCTCATTACAGAAAATTTGGAAACTAGAAATTAAAAAATGTATCACCCATACGTCCAGCATTGAGAGAAAACCAGTGTTACGGCTTTGTTCCATTTGAAGATCAATTGGAAGTGCATCTCTCTATTGGCACTGGGTTCGATTGCCTCTGGCTAATAGAGTTCAATTAGTTCTATCCCTGGGTTTCCTTTCTTAGCTGTGGGGTGAAAGGTAGGAGGGAGAGATCTACAATTTGAATACGTGTTACTTAATAAGACTCAGCTGGCCATCAGTTCCTTATGTCAGATGTGTCATTAAATTTTTTTTCTAGATGGTCCTTGAGCAAAACTTAGTAATTACTTTTTTTTATTTCCACTGCCTTTATAAAATCAAAATTTCCTCCTTTTGATAATAACTGTTGAATACTATTGATGTAGAGAATGTGTACATGTGTATATTTGCATTGATTAAATTATTGGAAAACTTTTCATTGATAGGTAATGTATTTTGATTGTGCAGATGGTTTGTAGAAAGTATCCTTTTTTTATTCTATTCAAAATTAAATTTTTTTTCTCCTAAAATAAAGCAAGAAAAGTAAATGTAAGATATATAAGAAACCCCAGAGTTTCCAGGGTGAAAGTTCTCATTAGCAGCTTGTTCAAAACATTTACATCACACAGATATTTGAAAGGAACCATGTTGAAATTTTCTGAGTTTATGAGTTATAACCACAGCCCAGTAAAACCAATACTTGTTATTTGGCTACTTCCAAGCAATGCAGATATTCTTTAGTATTTAAAAATGAGCAAATAAACAAAATGAGGCAAATAAATGAAGAAAATGAGTTTCTGAGGCACTGCTTAAGTGACCATAAATCAGACACATATTTTTATGGTGGGCAAATTGATGAAGATACTTTTAGTAGGCGATTTATATTCATAACAAATACATATTGAAATAATGTCACTACTGTATCAGAATTAAGAAACAGCCTCGCATTAGGACTTCTCCATACAAATTCTTTATCATTGGTTCTTAAATTGGAAAAGTACCTATAAATGATTACATTTTTTAACTAAATAAAATGCAGATATTTTGGCTTCTTGTGAATTTAATAAAGAATCATAAAACATAGGCCTTTTTTTTGTTCTCCCAGAATGTCTCAAAATCTACAGTAGTAGCTTTGACAAGTTGGGCAAATGCAGAACCTGCTAATGAGTTAAGTAATATGTGGGCAGGGGTTGTAGCAAAGTTGTAGACTGATGGACACAAAAGTTAACTATCCAAATACTTCTAGAATGAGGAAAATGCAAAGACAGTGCATTGTGGAAAATCCATCAATGTAGAATATCAAAGGAGAAAGAGCTTATGATTGCCTCAATAGAAAAATAAACATTATTTGACAACATTCAACATACATTCAAAATAAAAGCTATTAGTAGAGTAGGAATAAAAGGATGCTTCCTTAATAAAATAAGAGATACTATAGTAGATATGGTAAATTGGCACACAGCATCTCTTCACCTTCCTGGTACCTTGGCCTTTAGCCTTTTTTTTTTTTTATCATAACCCACAGTAAGAAATGTGTTTTATATATTCATCCTGTCATACTTCCCCACTTATAAATATATATGTACATATAAAATATCTATGAATCATAAAAATGTATATATTTTATGCAATAATACTTAATCTTGCTAGGCACACTAATAACTTATGTTCTATTTCACTTTTTAAAATGCCATTTATGACTCAATAAATGGATATCATGACCCGCTAATAGGTTCCAACCCATAGTTTGAAATCCACTGTTCTACTCTATCTTCTTGTACTTCAGAAGCTTTGAAGCTAAAATGTACATTTTCTGAATTTCTTGCAGATAAGTTTACCCCTTGCAGCCAGGTGAAGTTTGGTTTCCTTCAATCAGATACAAATGGAACTTGGAAGGTAGAAATAAGGTGGAGGCCATACTTTTGATGAGTCTGCTTTTTTCTTCACAGTGGTGGAGCCATTTGGTTTTTTTGAGGCAGTATCAGCCAGAGATGTTGTCAGTTGAGCAATAAGATCTTAAGATGTTTTGATAAACCTGGAGTAATACTTCTAGTATTCAAATGGAAAAACAAAGATCCAAAAATATTCAAGACAACTCTGATAAAGAAGAGCACACAGAAGGTACTTGACTTTCTAGATATAAAAACTTACAAATCTGTATTGTTGGTCAGCAGTAGACAAATAGATCAATAGAACATAACAGAGATTTGTTAAAGATAGCATGACACATTAGAGGAAAAAGTGAACAATTATTGATACTAAGTCTTCTCACCATAACAAAAATAAATTCCAAATAGATTGAAGGCCTCAATGAAAAACAGCAAAACTTTAAAACTATTTGAAAGTTATAGAATATTCTTATGACCTTGGAAAATGGATAGATGTATCAGACAAGAACTAAAAATCATAAATTATTTTTTAATCGATATATGTGACTTGATCTAAATTTAAAACTTGTTTCTATATGACTGAACATTCTACAGAGTTAATAGGAAAGCAGCCTGGGTGCAGTGGTGCACGCCTGTAATCCCAGCACTTTGGGAGGCCAAAGTGGGCGAATCACCTGAGGCCAGGAGTTCAAGACCAGCCTGGCTAACGTGGTGAAACCCCATCTCCACTAAAATACAAAAAAAAAAGTTAGCCAGGCATGGTGGCATGTACCTATAATCCCAGCTACTCAAGAGGCTGAGGCCAGAGAATCGCTTCAACCCAGAACGGGGAGGTTGCAGTGAGCCAAGATCACGCCGCTGCACTATAGCCTGGGCAACAAAGCAAGACTCCGACTTAAAAAAAAAAAAAGAAAGCAATAGATTAGGGCAACATTTATAAGCAATAAGGATTAATATCCAGACTATATGAAGAGTTACTGCAAATCAGAGATAAAAGCAATAAAGTTTACAAAAACTATGATTAGGCAATTTATAATTCATAGGTGAAAAGATGCTCAACCTCACTACAGGATCAGGGAAGTGCAAACTGAAACTACATGAAGATATCTTTAAAAATCCATTAGATTGGGAAAATAAGAGTCAGAATATCAAATGTTGAAGCTATGAAGAAAAGGAATTTAGTGACATCCTGATAGAAGCATAAATTTATTCATCAACTAGGTTGTCAGCGAGTGGGGATGAAAATGTACATAGTCTAGGATTCAGAAATTCTGCTTCTATGTATATCTCATGGAAGAGTGTTTTCAGAAATTTTTACTATAACCCACTGTAAAAAGTTGTATACTGTGACACACAGTACACACACCTGCACACATACCCATATATGTGTGTGTGTGTGTATATATATATATACACACATAGATATATAATTGAAATGGTGTTATAAAACAATACCTACTACCCTTAATATCTGCACTGCATTATATTTTGTTTTATTTCATTTCATAAAGAACACTAGTGAAGACACACTAAAATGATTTCACAGTTTTGAATGGATCAAAACATGCAGTTGGAAAAAGTGAAACATACTACCCTTAATATTTGCCTTGGTACTTGCCTGATATACATGTGTACAAGAGATTCGTATAGAATGTTCATTGCAGCATTGTTAGTTGTAATAAAACAATGGAGGTAAATACCTTCAGTAGGGAAATGTATATATATAATTTCATATGCATAGGACGAAGTAAAAACATAGTTCTATGATTGAGGTGATTGGATCTCAATAATGTTGAACAAAATGTTGGCAAATTTTTACTGGATCAAAGTCCTTTCATGTTTAAATTTTCCAGTGAATGATTGGAGTACTTGCTAATTAAAGGGATTTAAATGCTTTTCATGTCATACTTTAAAGTGAAGACTATTGATATTCTGTTACAAAAATATAGAAATCTCTTAATCCCACCCAGATGAAGAATTATCCCTTTTCCCCATGGAGAAAGTCTATAAACTTGCCCACCTGCAAGTCTCAATTTATCTTCAAAAAGAGCTTTGCATTTGTGGAAACATTTAGACAACTTTTCAGCCAAGACTCTTGAGCTATCTTATGAAGCTTAGAAAAGATTACATATTTATTAAAAAATGTGAAGGGCAGATGTAGCTAAATTAGTATTAAAAGAACTTCAGTCTAGACCCTGAAGAACAATTGATTTTGAATAGAATTGATTGATACAGTTGCTTTGCTTCAAAATATAACTTTAAGAAATGGAATGAAATGATGGTGTATGAATGTAAAAGCACACAGTCAACTTGGAGGACTTTAATTAATGAGTGATTTACCAGTATGTGTGCAGAGCTTCTAGAAACCATGTAAGATAAAGCATTATGCAAAAGGAAGCCATTAATAGAGTATGTAAAGCTGAGCCTTGTGGAGCACAGCACCACAGGAGGAGTGGATCCAGAGGGGCAGAGGCAAACAAGATATTCGCTCACCACTGGGAGACCCATAAAAACTGGTGAATATCTGTCACATCCGATGATTACGGCTTTAGAAGCATTCAAGCTAAGCAGTTCTTGGTGGTGATAATACAACAGATTAATTTGCTTCCTGGAGTCACTTTTATTCTTATAGTTGTATGTCACCACATCAATGTAAAAGAAGAAGGACTTGGCCAGGCACGGTGGCTCACGCCTATAATCCCAGCACTTTGGGAGGCTGAGGCGGTTGGATCACAAGGTCAGGAGATTGAGACTATCCTGGCTAACACGGTGAAACCCCGTCTCCATTAAAAATACAAAAAAAAAAAAATTAGCCAGGCATGGTGGCGGGCGCCTATAGTCCCAGCTACTCGGGAGGCTGAGGCAGGAGAATGGCTTGAACCTGGGAGGCAGAGCTTGCAGTGAGCTGAGATCGCATCACTGCACTCCAGCCTGGGCGATAGAGCAAGACTCCGTCTCAAAAAAAAAAAAAAAAAAAAAAAAAAAAAAGGAAGGACTACAACATGCCTTACACTGTCTACAACTAGGATGTGATTTGCCAAACAACTCCCTTTGCCCTCTAATGCTTTCAGTGGGTACTGAATGACCTGAGGACTACATCAAATACTACATCTCACCACACTGGTGATTCTTTTTGAGGAAAACAAAGATCAACTATGATCAGCAGATGCCTTAAGGCCTCACACTTACACACACACCACCCCATTTCCTTGATAATATAAAATAGCAAAACAGTGACCTGAAATGAATTGTAATATCTATAATATGCCTGTCTCTGATGCAGCATGGTTAGACTGGAAAACTTAATTCTGAAGTTGACAGGGAAGAAAATTGGCAAAGGCAGCAATTTACTTCCAAATAATATTCTTTCCAAATTATTTGTTGTAATTAATTTTTTCTTGATAGTTTCCTCTGAGCGGATACTATAACCAAGGAAGAGCAAGAAAATGAAGAGTATTTTGCTTTTACAGGAAGAATGGCAGCCAGAAAGACCAGTGGTTAGGAAATGCCAATCAAACCAACTTTTCTTTAAAAAATACTCCCAAAGGCCTTCTTAGTTTTCATAAGTAATGGGGTCTTGCATTGGTTTTCTATTGATGCTATAACAAATTACCACAAACTTAGTGGCTTTAGACAAGATGAATTTATTTTATGACAGCTCTGAAGTCAGACTACAAAATGAGTCCTAAGGGGCCTGAATGAAGATGTCAGCAGTGCTGGTTTCTGGATTCCTTTTCTGCAATAAAAGGTAACATCCACAGGTTCTGGGGATTTAAATATGGATAGCTTTGGGGGAGAACATTATTCAGCCTGTCACAGGTGTCTTAAAGTGTGTGTCAAAAGATCCTAGGTAGACAAGATCTGGTAGAGTCATCAGTGTATGTTATTAATTTAATGAATAATTCAGTCATCACCTGGAGAAGCCAGACAGAAATGGGTAGCAGCTCCAAATCTCCATTTATTGTTGATCTTTTCTAACTATTTAACTAAGCCTGAGGTCTCCCACTGAGACATTTTGTCACTTGTTGTTTGAAAGAATACCCTGCTTACAAAATAATTTAAAACTCACAAGTCTTTGTTTTTGAGTTTCATTTGTTGCTGTATCTTAACAGTTTTTTTAGCAATTATCAAAATCAGCCAGTCACTTCTGTTATTACTTATACTTTTGTTATGTTCTCTGTAATCAACCTAT